TCCCCCGGCGGCCAGAGCGCCGGGGGCAGGGCCGCGAGCCCCGGCGGGGGCTCGGCTCTCCCGCCCCTCCCCCGGCGGCCAGAGCGCCGGGGGCAGGGCGGCGAGAGGGCGGCGAGCCCCGGCTGGGGCTCGGCTCGGCTCTCCCCCCGGCGGCCAGAGCGCCGCGCCGCCCCCCTCCAGGTGCCGCCCCAAGCACCAGCTTGGGTGCTTGGTGCCTGGAGCCGGCCCTGAGCCCAGCAGCCTAAAAAGCTGGGCTAGAACAGGATAGGTTACGTCACATGTTGACTCAAACTGGGCAGGAGTTGTCTCTCTTTCTGGGACATATAGGTAGGAACCACACTGCCCAGACTCCAGGTTGAGTCAGTAGAGGCAATGCTGAGTTTGTTTCTGCATGGCACTGACAACACACGATTGTTACAACCCTGATACGCCTACACCCTCTGTACCCTCTGGGATCCAGCCATGGTTCTCAAACTGGTCCAGCCGGATGACTTTAGGGTCATGGCACCCTTGAGTACGTCGGATCTGGCAGGCGACACCTGCCTTCCAGGAGGGCATCAGGGCAGAAAAGAAGACCTGGTACTCGCTGTCAGACAGTGGGCTGCCTGGAACCAGGGATGACATGCTGCAGGCAGGCTGCACCATGGGGAGCAGAAGTCCTGTGGAGAAAGCAGGACAGGGATGAGTACATCCATCAGGACATAGAGAAGCACTTCATAGACCTGTCAGTCCCCATGTCCTCACTCGCTTCCCCAACTTCTAGATCAGCCCAACAAGCCCATCCAGACTGAGGTTCCCACCTGTTCCCCATGTTGGCTGGACCACAATGGTGCCTTAGAAATGAAACACAAAAACCTCAAGCCAGCCAGTTTCCCCCAGATCTGGGTGAGTCTGGTCTAGAGCTGGTCCCTTTGAGGTAAAAGGCTTCATATCTCATTCCATAACCACCCAGTCCTCCAGACCTGGGGCTGCACTGAAACCAGTGCCCTACAGGTGAAAGGCTTTTTTATCCCATTCCTTAATCTCCCTGAGTCAGCCAGTTCTTTTAACCCATTTTCCACCAGCTGTGCCCTTCCGCACTGCAACCTGCTTAGCAATACAGGCTCTGATCCTGTAGAATTTGTGCCCCATTCCCTAACCATGTGTCCCATCCTAGGAGTTTTGAGACTTCATAACAGTAAGAAAACAGAGGGCAAAGTACATGTGCAGCAATGGGGCCATCTTGTTCCCCATGTTGGGTAGTGCCATTCAAGAGTGAAGATCTTGAAGATCCATTCCCATGGGGATGAAGGAGGGATACCAGAGTATATTCCCTGTGGGGAGAGATGGCAGAGGTACATTCTCTTCAGGGATACTCAGGGACAACAACAGAATTTCCTGGGTTCAGGGATTTGATGCAACAACTTATAGGTGTGGAAGCAGAGAAAGAACTGACAGGAAGGGGATTGCAATGCATGACTGTTTGTTAGCAAGAGTCAGGCTAACTGTAACCCTAATAACGCGAGATTTGTAGAAGCAAGGAATGTGTGAGGCGAGTGGGAAAGAACTGTGTGAGAAGTTGTTGCGACCTTGTGTAGATAATGTGTAGATAATATGGAATGTAGACTAAGGGCTTGTCTACACTACCGCGGTAGTTCGACGGCTGGCAATCGAACTTCCGGGTTCGATTTATCGCGTCTGGTGTGGACGCGATAATTCGAACCAGGAAGTGCTCGCCGTCGACTGCGGTACTCCACGTCAGCGAGAGGAGTACCGCGGAGTCGACGGGGGAGCCTGCCTGCCGTGTGTGGACCGCGTCTGAACCGCGGTAAATTCGAACTAAGGTATGTCGACTTCAGCTACGTTATTCACGTAGCTGAAGTTGCGTACCTTAGATCGAATTGGGGTGTTAGTGTAGACCAGGCCTAAGAGTCTACATTAATGAGCAAAACAAGATATCAGAATGACCTATGTATAAACAAAATGCAGCTGTTGCTCATTATTGTCTGTAACAAAAGGTATAAATGCTTGCTGTAATTGTTTACCTGTTGAGAGACCTGTTTAGCTCTCTCCCTCTATGCAATTGATAGAGAGAAAATAAAGTATCTGACTTGCTGTACCCAAACAAAAAGTGAGAACTCTGTTATTCTCTGACAATTTGGGGGCTCGTCCAGGATTTGAACCCGGGACCTCTCTGACATAGGGAAGAGGCACCCAACACATCAGAGGTGAGGGGTTCTTGTGAGGTGCAGACACAGGTCACTTACCCACCAGGAGGGCCCTAGGCAGAGACTGGAACCTCAGCATTTTCTTCTCTTTAACTCCAGTGCCTGCAACTCCCAACCAACTCCTCCCATTTCAAAGGCCAACATGGAGGCTGTCGGAATGAGAATATGGTGACCTCATAGTCAGAATCCTAGAGGAGCCACAGTGAGGGTGGAGGTCAAAGGGATCAAGAACAATGTAGAAATGATCAGAAAAGGGAGTCAAGGGTGATCAAGGGGGTCAAGTGGCAGGCAGAGAGGGGCACAGATGAAAAGAGGAAATCCAGGAGGGGAAAGGGTTTGGGGAACATGGAAGATGAGAGGAAAAAGGAGAGGATTTGTGATGGGCAGCAAGGTTGGAGGCACTATGGGGGATGAGAAGCTTGGGGAAGTCATGGGAAGAGTGGGAACTGGAAGGAAAACAAACCAGGGATATGGGGGAAGAGAGGAATACAGGCAGATGAGATGGGGAATCCAGGATGGGATGAAGGCATGGGGAATGAGAAGGATGGAGACAGGGATTAGGGAGAGCTGGGGAGAACAGTGAGGAAAGGGCATGTGAACAGAGGTGGTTGGCTAGAAAGTAAACCAGGAGGCAGCAGAGGCAGACACACTCTAGAGCTACCCCTTCCTCCCACCCACACTCCCTAGTGATCAGACTAGGATAGACTACAAATGTTTGTAGCCAGGAACATTTGGGGAGTGTCCTGACTAGCAGCCCACACAAAAGTGTTAACTACCCCCGGTTAACTGAGAATCAGTTAACTCCAGGTAAAAAACCCTAGAAAAAACAAGCCCTGTAGGTACCTCCTTAGGTACCTAAGTTTCCACAGATAAAGTTCCCTAGATGCCTAAATGTCTCCTGGTGGGCATATGTGATCCCACCTAAGTCCTCACACCACTGAGCAGAGTGGCGGGGTAACATCCTTCTTTAGTCTGGCCTCCTGCTCCTCAAAAGTTTCTTCCTGAGATTCTGGGGCTCTGGAGATAGAGGCTGAAGGTGATTGCCTTGCTGTCTTTCTTATAGGAGACAATACAGAACCTAGAACAGTGATCTCCAACCCTTTTATGCCCAAGATCACTTTTTGAATCTAAGGGCAACCCAGGATCTACCCCGCCCCTTCCCCACGGCCTTGCCCCTTCCCCAAAGCCCCGCCCACTCCATCCCCCCCCCCCCCCCCGTTGCTCACTCTCCCCTACCCTCACTCACTTTCACCAGGCTGGGGTAGAGGGGGTGTGGGCTCTGGGCTGGGGCCAAGGAGTTCTCAGTGTGGGAGGGGGCTCTGGGCTGAGCCTGGGGCAAGGGGTTGGGGTACAGGAGGGGGTTCAGGGTGCAGAAGGGGGTATGGGGTGCTGGCTGCAGGAGAGGGTTGGGGTACAGGAGGGGGGTGGGGTGCTGGCTCTGGGAGGGGGCTCAGGGTGGGGCTCGGGGTGCAGGGGAGTTTGGGGTGCTGGCTCCGGAAGGGGGCTCAGGGATAAGGGTTGGGATGCGGCCTCCCGCCGGGCAGCACTTACCTCAGGCGGCTCCTGGTCGGCGGCATAGGGTGTCTGCAGCTAAGGCAGACTCCCTGTCTACCCCGGCCCCACACCGCTCCCGGAAGGGGCCAATGCACCCCTGCGGCCCCTGGGGGGGAGCAGGGGTCACATGGCTCCGTGCACTGCCCCTCTCTGCAAGCACTGCCCCCACAGCTCTCCCGGCCAATGGGAGATGCGGGGGCGGTGCTTGCAGGCAGGAGCAGCACGCGGAGGGAGACCCCTGCTCACCCCCTCCCGGGGCTGTGCTGGCTGCTTCTGGGAACGGCATGGGCCGGGGCAGGCAGGGAGTCTGCCTTAGCTGCAACTACACTACTCCGCCGGAGATCGCGATCAACTGGGAGATCCTCTAGGATCAACAAGTCAATCGTGATCGACAGGTTGGTGACCACTGACCTAGAAGGATAAGTTCTGTAGGCTGCCCATGGGTCCAAGTATAGCCACTGGGGTGGAGGAAAGGGCATGGGTCGTGGCACCCATGGGTGCCCATACCAGGTAGGTTAAAGCTCCATACGTGGCTGCAGTTGACAAGCCCCTGATTGTTGTACAGCTGAGCTGTGGTGCAAGGCTAAGGAGAGGTGGTCATGCTCCTCACTGTCTTCGCTGGAGAAAGGTGGAGCTGACAGGGAAGCTGGTGGTGAGTGTCCTGGTGCCGATGGTGATCCTGGAGATCAAGATGCAGTCAGTACCCAGAGCACTGGTACCGAGCAGTGGAGACTCTGGTGTCTCAGTAACTAGAAGGTCTCTGGAGAAACAAAACTCCTGCAGTACCGTGATGGTTGGTAATGCTAGGGATGGTCAGTGCTGGCCCATCAGTACCAAGGGAGTCAGTGGGGCTAAGGCTTCTTGTGTGATGAGCGGTCAGAAGAGGGCTCCTTCCTTGATACCGTAGTCTTATGCATCAGCACCAATTTTGTAGAGGTGGTACGATCTTTGCTTTTAGCTCTGACAGACTGTGCCGATGCTTTTGAGCCTGTGCCCCTCAGGTCTTTAGGCTTGATGGTGGTACTTGTACCCGAGGAACTGTGAGCCTCATGGGTACCATGGCCAGTGGTGCCTGTGCCAAAATGACTGACTGTGCCGGAGATCTCCTTTGACCAATCAAGAGATCAGTTCGGGGACTTGTGGCCCTCTTCTTAGAAGTCTTTGAGGGGAGTCAGAAGATTTTCTTAGGCTCTCCTTCCATGGAAGTTGATGGTCTCAGTACTGATAGGGTGACCAGATGTCCCAATTTTATAGGGACAGTCCTGATTTTGGGGGCTTTTTCTTATATAGGCACCTATTACCCCCCACCCCATCCTGATTTTTCACACTTGCTATCTGGTCACCCTAAGTAGTGACTATTGCTCTGGGGGAGTCTCGGGACCAGGATCAGAGGCCGGTCTAAGGGAACTCTCCATCACGGGTAGCTTAAGTTTTAACTCATACATTCTGGCCTTCAATTTTTGGCAGAAGGTGCACTACTGAGAAACATGCACCTCTCTGAGGCACCAAATACAGCATGAGTGACCATCACTGATCGTTATTGCGTCCCAACAGGAGACGCAATGTTTGAACCTGGAGGAGCCAGGCATAGCCCCAGATGGGGAGTTGGTCCCCCCCCAAAAAGGTGTGTGGGGGGGGAAAACGTGTCAACAAGACCAGGGAGAAAAAATGAAAGTATATACTTTTTTTAAAAAAAACAGGGAAAATTTTAAAACAGAAACTCTACTAGATGCTATGAAAAATGGAAATTCTACTGGCTATTATAAATTCAAGGCAAACTGCAAACTAAATCAGACTGCTAATCATGCAGTCTCAGGCCAAGGGTGGCTGAGAAGGAGCTGGGGGCAGTTTGCCCACGCAGCGCTAGATAGCCTCGAGGCAAGGCATGAGACAGGGAGAGTGCATGTGTGAGCCGAACGGACACTATCTAAAATCTCTGATCAGAGGCACAGAGACGCAGACACACCTACAGTGGAGCACCCATAGGGATACTACTCAAAGAATAGTATGTGATCGTGTAATAAAAGACTATCGCAATGCATACACACAAGGGGGCTGAATTAAGATTGCCCAGGCAACTGTACATATGGTATTTTCTAATATTGGAGTGCTTGAGTTTGCAACCTAAAAACATTTTTTAACAATGGGAGGGAGAGTTTTGTGTGTACACGTACACACACACACACACACACACACACACACACCCCTGCAATGATTTATATATACACATATATAGATAGATGTTAAAATGGAGTTAAGGTTGAGAATACATATAATTAATTTAATGTAAAAAACAGATGTAATTATTCCCAAAACATTATAAAGCCAAGAAATTTGAGAGTTAAGGTTACATTAAAAAAAATCCAAACATGTTCAAGTATGGAAATGCATAGGTCAGTCATCCAAATGATCTTAATTCTGCTCACAGCAACACTAATGCAATAACCATATGTTTAAGGCATGTTAGTGTTTGTGATACAAATCTGAATGAAACTAAATTTAAATACACAGTTGATTTTTTTCCATTACAGTGGCACTACAGGACAGTCACCATAGTTGAAGTATCAACCTTTCATTATTTATTTGAACTTCTATGGTCAGATCCCCTGAAATGCTATGGCTGCATTTCACCTTGCAGCAGTGCAAAGCACCCATAACATACTGGATAATTAGACTGAGTGTACACAGACACACAGACTTTCCCCTCCCTCCTGCCCTCCACATTCCCCTGCATGCACATACAACCCTCTACTGCCTTTCTTATAGAGTAGATCTCGTGTAACAGTTAGCTTTAAAAAAAAAACCAAGTACTAAAAATTAAGGGTAATTTTTGTCATTATTCTTCATAGCTCAAAGTTTCTCCTTCAGCAGAAAAATCCTCTATTTCATCCAATTCTACTAAGAACTGATCTTTCAAAATGGCCATTCTCTCTACAGTTTTCAATAGGACTGAGGCCACAGGTTGCCATCAAATAAGATGTTCTCTTTCAAAATGGCCACCCCCTCATTGTTCCAAATAGGAGTTAAAACAATCTGCCCTGACCAAAGATGGTGGCTCACTATACTTTCAGGAGATAGACAGGGAAACTGTGAAGTGCAGTGAATGGAGGCAGTGGGCATAGTTGCTAAGGGCAGCCTGTGGTCTCAGTTCCATTGGGAACAATAGAATATGGCAGTCATTTTGATAGAGGGCAATTTTTGGGGTAGAATTTTCTGTAATACAATATTATCCGTAAGCTACTGCTGAAGGAGCAACTTTCACTTTTGAAGAATGGCAAAAAATGACCATTAATTCTAAAATGTCTACAAATGTAGCCAATACACAAGATTGTAGTGATTTTAGCTACATAGGGAAATTGAAAAGTCTGCATTACTAGATTACTCTCATCATCTGGGACTGAAGATCACACAGTGTTAAATTTCAAGGACTCACTTTAAAATTAATAATTTACAATTAAATACATTAGGTTGAGCTCTCAGAAAATACATCCTATAAAAAGTATAGGAAGTAATTTTAATAAAATG